CCAATATGCAAAATACTTTGCTGTATTTCAAAAACTAATTTAAATTGGCTGGAAGGAGTTTTCATTTTGAAATTATAAAAAATAGCTGATTTCAGTGCCATTTTTAGCCATCTGTCAGTACAATGTAATTCTCTTTATTAAGAAATTTTAAAAAAATAAAACGTACTTTTCTGAAACTTTGAGGAATATTAGCTGATCAATTAACATAATTGGATTTGAAAAAAAATATTATTTACGTTTAAAATATCACAAAGAAGCATTTTTAACATGGCCAGTACTTGTTTAAGGTGTTGACATGTTGACAGTTTCTATGGCATGTAGAAGTTTATCTATAGTGGATACAACTATAAAAATTACTTGAGGAATATAATGTGAGTGCCTTTTTATATCATTTTTAACTACCCTGTAATCTTAAAAATGTAGGAAAATATTCTCCATAATCTAATGTTTTATTGAATTTTAGGTACTTTGGCTTTAAATTTACGATAGTTACCACTCTTATTTTCTGATAATGTTATATATGGACATCCATATTTACAAAAATTGGCATGTTGTTACACATACAAAATTTCAGAATTCTTTTAAAAATATTGGTGGTTGCTAAATTGTAATAAGCTTTTCCATTTATGATTAGTAAATATAGTTTTTACTTAATAGCAATATCACCTAACCAGACAAATTAAGACAAAATTTTAAGATTTAAAACTTTATAAATTATTATGATTAAAATTTTTAAAAAATGAAAACAATTCTTGTAAAAGTTCATTATTGTCTGAAGAAAAAAAATTTTGATGAATAGTGTCCATAAAATATATTATTCATAAAAGCAATTAAGAGCTTTTCTAATTAAATAATGTCTTAGTTTTATTATATTTTTTATTTTAAAATTCAGAGCAGATTTTCAGTAACTGATTGTCCTGTTTTATAAAAAGAAATCAATTTAAATTCTAGGTCAAAATTTAACTTTTAAAATTTTTTTAAAAATTAAAAAAGTGTAAGGTAACAGATGGAAAAAAAAAAATTTCCTAAGAGCTTCTAAAAAAAAAAAAAAATTTCTTTGAACCAATGAAAACCTTGCCTTCACAAAGATTTACCTGCGAACTGAGAAAAAGATGGAAATAAATTTGTGAGCCTGTGTAAAATTGCTTTTGGACTAATGGAAACTTTGTCACAACAGAAATTAGCCAAGAAGCCAAGAAAAAAGAAATGAAAGTAACAAGCCTATGTGAAATTCTTTTTGATAAAATAAGAAATAAGAACGTGAAAACTTTCGTTTTTTCTGTCTACCGTGTTCAGCATTGACGTTTTTTTCTCCAGTGTCAAATTACTCGTCGTATATCTTCTTCCATGAGTAACAAACTCTCTTACTGTTGTTTTAAACATTTTCGAATATTATGTGTCAGATCATTTAATCTGTTTTCAATTCGTTGAACCTACGGACTTTAAAAATTTATTTTCCTGAAACCAGCTAAAATGACAACTTCAAGCGCGTAAATCTGTAAAATAAATTCCTTATCTTGTTTTGTTAAAATTATTACCAATTACAATCCTTCATTAATCTTCTTGGCATGGATAAATCAACTGTTCAAACTCCGAAGACTCATGCGACTATAAAACTTAACTCTAAACAAGAAACTCCTGTTCAAAAGACAAGGAAGGTGTGTGAACCGGGCGATGGGAGAACCTATGTACTCCTATGTCACTGTGTAAGTAATCTTATGGAAGATAGCACTTTAAAAAAAAAAAAAAAAAAATAAAAACTAAAAAGTAACTTAAATTTCATCTTGTCAATTATTTTTTAAAAATATGGATACTTTGTTTGTAAGAAAAAAAAACTTTTCAGCATCAATTGTGGGCTATTAAAAAAAAAAAACTTTACACAGACATTAAGCAATAATAATATTCAAGCAACTATGGGAAACGCTTGAGTAAAACAAGAAAGTAGGACCCCTATCTCCAGAACAGAGTAATTTTCTCATAATGCTTCAATAGTATGAATACATTGGCATTATCAGTGAAATGAACAGAAGTTCGTGATACATGAATAAATTAGACAGCAAATAACAAATGTCAATGACCCAGTGGATAGAACTTCAGATATATCAACAACTAAACGAGTTTCTTGGTCTGAATAGTCATAGAATGATATAAAACTTGACCAAAGCAAAAAGTAAAAAGAAAAAAAAAAAAGAAAAAAAAAAAGAAACTGCTTGATTTTTTTTTAATTCTAAAAAATTTCTTCAAATTTAATCTATTCATTTACGTTAATTTTGTTGCTACAAAGTTTGAAAAATGTAAATTAATTGGATATATTTTAATCTCAGATTAACACTAAATCCTCTTAAATATTTTTAGTCTTTAAACAAACAAAAAAAGTAAAACTGCAAAAAGTAAAGCACATCACCAGCAAGCAAGCACTTTTCCCCTGACTGTCTGTGATGTGAAGGCAAGCTGCAAATTATCATGACATGATATTTTTCGTAAACTAAACAAAAACTAGAGACATTATGCCAAATAACATTTTTGTTTTACTGAAGGAAATAGCAGTGTAGAGGAATTCTTGAAATTTAAAAGAAAAAAATTCATGGCTTTTTGCATCCATATTACATAAATTTAGCGTTAACAAAAACTAAACAAACTTTAAAAAAAGAACTTCATGAAGAAAAAGTTAAAGCAGAAAAAGAGAAAATAAAAATTCTCTTTTTTGATTACACAGCTGAGATTTTGCTGGAGATAAAATATTTTCCCCAAAATACCCTTTTTTTTTTTTTTTTTTCAAATAAAAACCATGTTTAATTTGTTAAAATTTAAATTTTATATTTTATAAAAAAGGGAGAATTAACTATCAAGCAAGATGCTTTATTCATGTATTTCAATCGCTTCTAGCTTAAGGAAAATTGTTGAAGTTGCTTAACAGCACTTTGCTTAAGATAAAAAGAGGAGGCAGAATTCAACACCACCTTTCTAGGTGATGTTGTTCAATCGCCAGTCCTGGGTGCCTATTTCTTTGACATACCAAACAAAACTCAGATTATTAAATAAACAAACAAATTTTAGTATTATCTTCAAAAGATTATTCCTACTGCTAAAAAAATCATATCAATAAAATTTCTACTTTCAATCATTAAATTTTGTAAATTAAAAGTTTTCTTTGAAATTTTCTTCCCAATAAAGATTTTTTAAATTCTTGAAAAACTTGCAAATTATTATTTTTTTCCTCCAAGAAAAATATTTTCAATTGAAACTTTGTAAAAATTCGTGAAATCCGTGTAAGAATGAATTTTAAACTAAGCATTTATTTACTTTATTTTGCAAATATTTTTCAACATCTTGTCACTTAATTCAGTGGTGAACATTACAAATCAAACATTAAGGATTTTAGGGGGGGAAAAAATCCACCTCCTGACATTTTTGATATTAGGTTGGTTTTTTTTTTTACTTACACCTTTTTGAAGGGTTTTTACAAGTAATTTCATTTCAGTCATCGATTATGAAATATGTTAGTTTTATTAACATCTTAGTTTTTATGCAGAATTTTCAACATCAGCTGATAAGGAAACTGACCACTGCATCAGTTGTACACAGATTTCTAAGGAGAAATATCATCTTGTAAATAAATGTGATGAAGATGGATGGATGGATGCTGACTTAGTGACTAACAAGAATAATCATTTGAGGTGCACCCAAAAATACTTCCCAGACTGGAAATAAATAAATACCTACAAAACAACACTAACGAACGGGATCAGGCTACATTACAAGACTTTGTTATTTTTTAAGAGATACAAAAATAGAGAGAAAAGGAGAATTTTTTTTTTTTTTTTTTTATGTAAGAAGACTAAGAGTAAGAACGTGGTAAAAAAAGGTATTCTGCCAATTTATCCACAAAGAAGGTGGGAAAAAATAAAAATGTACACACATTTAAATTGCCATGATGAAAAATAAAACAAAAAACTACACTATTTTTGGTTTCAAAGTAAAACCAGGTAAATAATTTAATTTAAATCTAACTAGCTACTTTAGAAACTAGAGATTAATCTTAAGATCTTGAAGCAAACAAACTAGTGCAAAAAATATATTAAACACGCTAGTGTGACAGTAAGTTTAGTTAATGAATGAATAAGTGAATTATTAATTTAATTTTGAAATTTTTATACTTTTTTAAAAAGTTTTAACCAATTTCACCATTTCTTCAACTTCAAATTAATATGCATTTAAAGCTGAAAAAATTTAATGATTCTGTTTGTAGTGAAGATTTTTTAAATAAATTGTTATTTAATGATGATAATAATAATTTTTCCTTCTTTTAATTCAAAGTACGACACAACAAAGTTTTGAACAGGTAAGAAACACTTAAGAATATGAATTGCATCTGTGGTAAGAACAGAGAAAGAAATTTGTTTCACCTTTCTAAGTAAATTGTAATGTAAAAAAAAAAATCTTTATTTTAGAGCGGATTTGGGAGATGAAACCAACACGTGGAATGATGAAGGATGGCCTTTAAAACTGAAAGTTAAAATTAAAAAGATTTAATATTTCCAGAGGGGACTACTAACAACAATGCAATTAAATATGTTATTGTTAATAAAACAAAACGTGGACGGATAGAAAATCTAGAGAACCTTTCTCGAAATAATCAGAAATCTGCCTCGAAAAAGATATTAAAAAAAACCCAAAAAAAACTGCAACCAAGTCCATTAAAAAAATAAACCTGAGTTTATTTAATTTTTAAAACCTGATATTTGTTATTTTTAAGTCAAAAAATAAAACAATTTTCCCCCGAATCAAATTTTTTGATCTTTGGTGTTTTAAAATAAAAAGGTTTTTACTTACTTAAATAAACATTTATTTTAAAATTATTTTACGTTTTTTAATGTAAAAAGAAAAAAAAAATAGAGAAAGTGTTTAGTTTTTTTTTTTTTTTTTATTAATCAACACATGGCATTGACAGTAAATTTATGAAAGGGAAAAAAAGTAACTTTAAAAAAAAAAAATCCTACCTGGGGATGATGATATTTTTGTTGGTGCTTCAGGTGCAAGAGGGGAAAGTTTTGATTGACAACAATTTCCAAGGCAGAAAGCAGAACAAGGCGAAGGTGTACAATTTTCATCTTCATCTTCTAAGGTTTTAGATTCCTTCATCTTATTAAAATAACGTTTATGTCGATCGCAAAAAAAAAAAAAACAACGTGAGAAAAAGATCCGCTTCTTTAAAGTTTTAAAAAACCAACACAAAGAAAAATACTTCTTTTACAAAAAAAAAAAAAAATACCGGCTTTGCTTTTTTCTTTAAAAACTTGTTTTTTTCACATCATTTTATATTCAAATCATTTCTTGTTTTTTTGTTTTGTTTTCACCTTCACTTTTTTTTTTTTTAAAAAAACAAACAAAAAAAACAAAAGTTTTTCCTACTTTTGAAAATCCATCTTTTATGGCCTCAGTTCAAAAATGCCGCAACCCCAGAAACCGTATTTCTTCCTCTTTTCAGTTCTATGAAAAAGTTTTTTTCTTTTTCTTTAAACGACTTTTTTTTAACCAATTTCTTTTTTAAATATTTAAATTTTAAAAAAATATTTTTTCACTTTTTCTTTCTCTGAAACGTCAATCAAGACTCGTTGTTGACACAAAGTTGTTTGACTGGTCTAAAGTTGAAAACTTAAAAAAAAGAACTGCACAGAAAATCACTTGTTATTTACTTTTACTAAGTTCAGCTTAGTTTGACCGAAAACAACAAAGATAAAGCATCCAGTGAGGATCGAACTCACTACTCAGTAGCAACGATCAACCAGCTCGTTATCCAGTACCGTAACACCGAGGTGCCACTGTTGACTTAGATGCGCAATCTATTCTAACTAAATAATAAAAAAATGAAGCGGTAGGCACATATAAATCGAAAACGTTTTCAAGTTGTAAAACGTGACATCCCTCTACTAGTTTTCAAAGTTATACAGAGAAAGAAGAGAAAAAATGAGTTAAGGTCGGCAGCACAAAAACGATTCACAAAAACTGAAAGAAGAGAGCAAAAAAAGGACGGAAGGAAGGAGGGAGGAGTGATGAGTAGAGTAGAGGATGATGATGATAATATATAATAAATAAAATACCTACAACATTTTCGACAACGAAATTAACTAAGGATGCTTGCTAAAGCCAACGTTTTTCCTTGTCAAAACTTTTTAAGGCCATGGATTATCTTCTTACTTTTTCTGTTTTTTTTCTCTTCAGCGTTTTGACAAGGAAACCATAAACGCGTCTCTAAGAGAAATTCTGATTATTTCTTACTTTTTTGAATGAAAAAGTGATTTTTCTGGCAAATAATACTCGCCTTTTATTTTTCACTGTTACACTAGTAAATTTTAAAAGAAAATTAAAAGTACTGAATTATTTCTTTAATTTCATTTATTAATTTACTTCAAAAGAATTCAGTTGAGTTTAATGATTTGTAAAAAAAAAAAGTTAGCTCAAGAGAAAAATGACGCGAGTTCAAATATAAACTTAAAAAAAAGAAATAACTTAAAAATTATAAATGAATTTTTTTTCATTAATCTTTTAAGTTAATTCTTTTGAACTCGTAGGGTTTTTTTAACTTTCAATCGCGTCATTAAAGCTAACTAACACTTTATTTAATTAAAATAATTCAGTATTTATTTTTAATGTTCTTTTAAATTTAGTGAAACTGAAAAACTTTAAGAAAGATTTTTTATTTTTAAATTATTTTTTTTTTAATAAAGATTTTTTAAATATGTCTTCTTGAGAGAGTTTTTTTTTTTTTTTTTATGTTGTCATCATTCAAGCGTGAGAAAAAAATATACAGCTTGTTTGGCAGACCATGGGAAAATAAAGGTGAAAAAGATATTTTCAATCATGAAAACGGAAACCACTGATTTTTTTTTTTCTCATAGTTTTCTTTCATGGGAAAAAAGCATTTGAAAGAATTTATTTTGACTTATTTTGTTTTTACAATACATGCGTAAGTTAAGTTTCTGTAGGAATGTAGGTGAAAAAGCAGAAAGCTTTCAATGTCCACTGCTGATTACAACCATTCGGCGATGTTACACATTCCTTTCATTACATTATTGTAGAAAAACAGAAAAAGTATTTCCTATAAAACTCGTTCCAAGAGCGATGAATACCATTTTGGAAACAAATAAATATATTTTAGTGTACTTCTATGACATGAAAAAGAATAATTAATCACAGAATCAACTTTGGTACAAGTCTGAAATAAAATTAAAAACCATACGAAACCTGGAAATTGTACCATTGACACCTAAATTGGTAAAGTAAAGTGCTTTCAAATTATGATCGAAATTAAATTACATTTCAAATTCCTTATTGCCTGGAACAAGTTAAAAAAGCCTTCTAAATTCAAGTAATAAAATTGTCTTTACCAAACAGGTATACATTTTTAAAATTTTTAAAATCACCTTGTTAAACACAGTAAAAGAATTTTAAATTAAAAAAGTTACATAAATTTTGAATAAATAAATGAAACATCTTTTAAAAGTATTTTGTCTTCATAGTAAGAAGAGATCTTGCCTATTACTGATTTACTTAAACGTAGCTTAAATTACGACACAAGGAGCACTCAGTGAAGATCAAACTCACTCCATTGGAATTGACCTGTGAGATATGCTTGTTTAACTATTGCACCATGTGAAAGAGTTATTGTCTATATGACTAGAAGTGTCTAAAGATGAGCAATTCATCCATTTCTCTGCAGTAGAGTCTTTTGCTATATATGAAAAGTTGTGTATGTGTAAATGTATTTCTTATGAATGTTATATTTAGTAGGTACACATATTTAAAAAATAGGAATGTCTACTGAAACAAATGTCTCCTAGCTGAGATATCAAAGGTCTCACTAAAGAAAATTTGCTTCTCAACAGGAACTGAACCTGTATTGCTTTTAAACCTGAGAAACCACCTTTAGGTCTGGCATGCTTTATCATTTAGCTACAGGAGGGCATTAGCTTAATGGTAAAGTGCACCTAACCTGAGTGTGGTTTCTGAATTTAGAAAGCAAATTTTGGGAAACACATTTTCTTTTATAAGGCTTTGTATTTCCTAGCCAGGAGACATTAATTTAACTATTAAAAAAAATTACACTCAAACATATTTGACCACTAAATATAATATTCATAATAAAAAGAAATAATGTCAAAATTAAAATCCATTGCTTTCTAATATATATATATATATATATATATATATATATATATATATATATATATATATATATAAAAAATTAAGAAAACACCTTAAAAATCCCTGTTGGTTATAATTTATTTCATGAATATTGTTATATTCATCTCTTCAGACTGAAAGTTTTTAAAAAATGGAATCAATCCATCCAGACAGATATACCCAGGTAAAAAAGAGAAGGGGGGGGGAGAAAAAATGGCAGAAAAAGAAAGAAAAAAATAATATTAATAATAAAAAAGGAAGAAAGAAATTAAAAATATAAAAATCCCTACCAATTACAAATTGGTATATTATATAAGATAAACAGGAAAACTTATCTTAGCCAATGTGTTTCATCCTCTGTGGGACTTCCTCAAGGAAAATGCACATTTGCCTTCATAAAGTCCCACAGAGGATAAAACATGTTGGCTAAAATAAGTTTGCTTTTGTCTTTATTCATATTGTCTTTTTAGAGATATACTCTATCTGAAATTATATATATATATATTAAAGACATTTTTATGTTTAACATTCTTTTTATAGATACAAGTATTTAAGTAAATGCTCTGTTTATAATAAACAGTATTAAATAACATTTACCGGCCTGAATGTCCAAGAAATTTTCATAGAAAATATTTGTCCTTTGACAGGATTCGAACCTGCATCCTATACGAAACCGTCATTTACGCTGACGTGCCTTTACCGACTCGGCCACAAAGGAGCGTTTGGTAGGCAAGGTCGAATTTACTGCTTATAAACTTCAATCTTCCATGAATCTCGTACATTCATAACTGCTCTGGCGTATCAAATGTAAACAAATGACGTCATACATTAAAATTGGACAAAGTCCGACAATTTATTAAAGACATTTTATATTTTAACATTCTTTTTTATAGATACAAGTATTTAAGTAAATGCTCTGTTTATAATAAACAGTATTAAATAACATTTACCGGCCTGAATGTCTCTATATCTATTGTATCTATAAAAAGAATGTTAAACATAAAATGTCTTTAATAAATTGTCGGACTTTGTCCAATTTATATATATATATATATATATATATATATATATATATATATATATATATATATATATAAAAATGAGAGAGAGTTAGATAAAAATATAGTTTTATGGGTAAAAGTGCTCAATATCAGGGACAGAGTATATATAAATATAAAAGTGAACACCAAGGTCAACACCAAGTGGCAACATTGATTTATGCTTGAAGGCCATCTTCAGGTAGATGGCCCAAAGATTGACTTCAAGAATGAAACATACTGTTGCCACTCAGGGTTGATCTCAGTGTCCATGTTTATATTTAGATATAGGTTTAATACAAATATAAAATTTTTGTAATCGTTCTGTTCACACAGGAGGTATCAGACAATTGCTGATTCTTCCTGACAAGCATAACAAATGACGATAAAAAAAGGTTCGTCTATGAAACTCTGGAGTCTTGTATGCTGACAATAACATTGATCAGCTAAATGACAAATTTTATATTTGTATTATTCTTATTAATGCTCTATCACTGATACTGAGCACTTTATTGCAAAGACTGCTCCCCTTAAACATCTTTTCTTCCAGACTTTCACTGACAGCATTTTTGGCTTCACACTATTTTTGTTATCACTTGCATGCGCTCTCTCTCATATATCACTACTTTATGGGTCAGAATCAAAGACGCCATACAGGACACACATCAATCAACTGGATGCTTTTCATAAACACTGTCTTCAATCAATATGCAATTATACACAGCAGGACAAAATCTCTAACCCTGATCTTTTCATCAAATGTGGCATTAGTGGTATCAAATCCTTTCTGATGCAATCACAGTTCAGATGGGGTAGTCATAGCATCAGAATGAGTGATGATCGAATGCCAAAATTCCTCATGTATAGCCAACTTTTTCATGGTAAACATAATGTAAGTTGTCCTTGATTTACACGTCAAAG